AAAGGTTGGGGACCGCTGCTTTATGGTATTCTTTCTTAACAGACTTTGCCAGTCATCCACATACAGGTAGACTGTATCTACTAATGAATCAAGGCCACATGGAAATCCATCTCTCTCTTTCCATTTCCTGTTCTTTCTTTTTCTGCCTGTTAGCCAAACATCCCATGAGGCCGTCAATGTGGGTTTCTACTAGTAGAAACAATTTAATGAAGCACGTAAAAGTTCTGCAGGAGCTCAAGATTGTGTGGAGGAATGTATGTGTAGTTGTGTGTATGCGTGGTGTGCCGGGTACACTGTCTTAGGAAAGCCCCTGTGTGTGATTTAACAGTGGAATACATTTCACACCTTGACAAAAATAGCAGATTTACCGTGACCATCCTAGAACAGCATAAGCCCAGGACTCACATAAATCCACTGGAACCCAGGCGCTCATTTGTTAAACAACAGATAGTGTGGATTCACAGCTCTATGTTCTGTGGGAAGCGGCGATTGTATGGCCAAAGGTGGACTCGTTGCTCTGGGGAATTTATTTCTCTAGTAGCGATTCCTCTGAAGAAATGAGGTGGAGTAAATAGTGAATAATACACAAGCACAATCTGAACGTTCTGTTTTGGTTGGAAAATAAGAGAGAAAATCCTTGTTTTGCCTGCGTTGGCATCCTTCCATTTCATTGTGGGTACGATTTAGGGAAAATAGCTGCAGGGAGGTGGAACATAAACAGCATTAGAGACAGGAAGAGACAGGTTCAGAATTCACTATTCGTTCCTCAAGGGGGTGGAAACAACTTTGTGTTTAGGAAGAGCAGGACAATATCTCAAGCGACTGTTAACTAGTTAGAGTAAGTAGACACATTACCAACCCACATTTCAAGTGACTATTTCCTCTGCAGTCTGTGCGTACCTGCCTCTGTGTTTTCCTTCAGATAAATGTTTTTTAAAGTGATGGATTTTTTTAAAATGGAACGTGCAATATGACAGATGATTTAGTGAGCAGCAGTTTCATTAACTTTCCTAATTACCATCTGGATCTTTGTCAGTAAAACACAGAACCTTTCCACTCGCCTAATGGAAAACATCTATTGCTAGCACTGTGACAGAATGAAGGAAAGCTTTGGTCATTAAATGTTGTAATTGAGAGAAAGAGTCGCAGGGAAAGGAAGAGAAGAAAGTCACGCCTTAATTAGCAATGGCAAGTTTATGTTCAGGCTGGGGTGAGGCATTTCAATGCAGGAATTTAGTGCCCACCAGTTAACACACACGCCCATGTCTGCACACACCCGTCAACCCAAACTCTGCACATTCTGCATTTATTCAGAGGCACAACCATCACACAAGCACATGCAGGCCTCTCAATGTCTGGCTTATGACTTCTCTTCGCCATATAAATCTGCAGTTCAAGCAAACTGTTGCTGCGTGTGTCTTTTCTGACAATTTCTTATTGGAGTTTGGTTTGCAGCTTTCACTCCTTTTTACCATTTCAAATACATTTTAAAGCTTTTTCTTACATCCTTTTTGTCCCATGTGTATATTTACATTTCTCTTTTTAAATAGGACATTTATTTTGAGATTCTGGATGTATATCAAATTAATTTCTTGTTTTGTGTTTTTCCAGCAAATTTAGTTTACAAATTCGGTACTCTATAATTGTTATTTGCCTCATTGTGCAAGCCACCATATTGCAATCAGAACACATTTCAGCTTTTGGCATCTTCACTCCAAGACATCATTTAGTGCATATGAATTTATGGAAAAATTGAGAACATCAATATAATATTTACCACACTGACAGTCTTTAATTGCTTGGGATCATAACACTCCCATGGTATTTGTCTTATTCTCAAGAGGACAGTATGAATTCTTGTAAGTACAACTTAAATGATTGCAGGGTGATTCTTGCTCCTTACGAGGATTAAAATTGCACGATGTACATTCCTCTGTGGGAATCGTTTATCTTTCTCATGATTGGGAAAATCAAACTGTATGACCAATTATTATTCTCACTGTCAGTCTCATTACTAAAACCTCTGGACAGTCACTTACATGGGGTAAGCTCAGTGGGAATTAAAGCTGTTAGCAGAGCTAATCTTCGTATCTCTTTTCCCGTCTCGTATGTTGACTTTCATCTTGCCATCACGCAGATTCCATCAGACACATCCCAAAGAGCACCATCCCACACA